TATTGCCTTTATGATAGTGACAGTTGAAGAGAGACAGGAAAGGGGGCAGAGAGAGCAACTTGGAGACTCTTAATCTGGGCCACCTTTTGTTTTAGAAACAGAAATCCAGTAGCACCTACATTGGAAGGTTGGTATGGAACAATTTTGGAAAGATTTACAATGAAAAAGTTAACTTTTTATTTGAGGATCCGAAAAAGACAAATTTCAAAATAAATAAATAAATAAAATATTGAAACTGTTCTGTACTCTCTGATGTTGTCTTTTCCAAAATAAATGATTTACATTAATTTAAAATAGAATGCAAATGTTGCTTTTTTAACAGACAACTGTTGGCCAATAATTTAGACATATAGATTTTACAAGATGACATGTCTTCTGCTACCATAGTGACCAAAAGAATCACTCAATGCAGTAGTTCGACTATGAGAACATGAAGTCTATTTTTCTTCCATCAATTTGTTATCATCAATAATCACATCGGTGGTTTGTTTTGTTCTCCATCATACAAGACTGCTTCCTTTCTTCCACAGATACAGGCCTAGTCGCAGTTCTAGAAATGTGAATCTGTCATTTAATGTGGGGCATGTGTAGAATATGTACATCTAAGGTTTCAGTCCTTTCCCGGACCAGTCTATCACATGACAAACACAGCCTGGTTATTTGGAAACTCTGAGAGGGGATATTCCTCTGACTCAAATTCTATTTTTGTGAGGTGGTACCGTAAACCACCTGATATGTATCAAATCTGTGTAGGTGTGGTACAGCTATGACTGACAGTGTGTAGTGTTTCTGTCCTTCTGGGAATCACCCAGTGCTGCTTCCAACCTGAATGACTATGTGGTTTGGAGTTGAAAAGGAAAGTAGTTCAAGTAATAACTTCCTGAAGCTCTAAAAGCCTCATCTACTGCATGTGAATGATAATTCTATGAAAATGGGTGCCAGAAATCCATAACTGTTTTTTAGTTTGCTCTGCTTGCATTGCCCACTCTCTGCCTAAACATGAACAGTTACATGTTCTTTTAAACGATTTAGACGAGTCCAAGTATTGGGTTTCATTCTGAAGCGCTGCATACAGAATGGACTGCAGCTCTACTGAACAACCCATAATCAAATTAAATCACATTCATCGATCTTCTATCATTAACGTAATGTAAGTATTTGTCAGATTACATTTAAATCTTAAAATCTGTAGTTGCCACAGTTATAACCATTTTAGGACTTACAATCACAAGCTCCAGTCCAGTCTTGTGACTTGTTTAAATTAAGAAATGAAATTAGTCTATTTGTTGAATGAATGTCTTGTTGATAGGAGAGCAGCTGAGTAAATCTGAGGTCAGTATTGCAGCCCGACTATAAGGCTGTCACTTGAAAAAACACGTTCCATTTGCAGCCCGCCTACAAACTCAGCACACTTTTTGGGAGTTTTAAAGTAAAACATGAGCACACTACTGATTATTCAGCTGTAGTTTATCTGGTTTGTGTTGTTTTTAGGTTGGGATTGTTTAGAGAACAGACTTGCGTTGTCAAAAGCATTAACTGACAAACTCGCTGTATGTTAAATTCTGTAGAAAGGCGAGAGACGGGTCGCCGTTGGGCAATTGTGTCTGTGTGCGGGTAGGGTAAGAGAGGAGAGAAGCAGATGTAGGACTCCATATTGAAAAGTTCCTGGCAGCAGAGGATGAAGGGGAGGGGAGGGGAAAAAAAGGGTAGACAGAGATAGAGGGAGGGGGAGGGACTGGGGAAAAAAATAAGGGTAAGTGAGACAGTGAACACTAACCACAACCAGATGGGGAAGTAAGGGGGAGCGACAGTGGACAGAAACCGAGCGGAGTGAAGGAGAGGAAAACTTTCACAGAGGAGGGAGGAATAAGGGTGGGGCCGGTGAGGAGGAGGAGGAGGAGGAGGAGAAGGGAGGGCCAGTGAGGAATTTTTTCCTATACCGACTAGGCTTTTTCTCCCCTCCTCGGGAATGAGAGGGAGGCTTTATGTAATGGGTAGGATGCAATCATTGAAGTCGTTTGACGGAGTCCCTGAGTGGGTCCTCTCTGACTGGTGAGGCTTTTTCACAACCGCAGCTATGTTTCCTCAGAGGACGGCAAAAACAATGACCCAAACACCCCTTCCAGGTTTTTTCTGGAGCTCTATTTTAGATGTAGATAGGAAACTCTTTCTCACATTTATTGCGTAATTATACCAATGCTGCATTTTCCAACCATTTTCCCTTTCCCTCTCTTCCTCACGAGGCAGATGATTCAGGTTGTTCACACAGACAGGAGGAACGGATGGTGACGAGCTTCAAACTTTTCACAGTCATATGATGAGCTGCGTGTCCTCTGTTAGACCTGGTCACAAGCCGCTGGTGTTTTGGGCGGGGCGGCCCGACCCCACTTCATCTTAGCCTGTTTCACAGCAGTTCAATATTGTCACGTCCAGGTTGCTGAGAGTCAGCTCTGGACAACCTGTACTGCGCGTGTGCATGACCCCTACTCTACAACTGACTGGACACTGTTCAGTACATCTACAACAATTACTCCATCAATTGATGAGTCGATCCCATAAAGTGAAGCACGGGTTCCAAATATTTTATGTTCCGACTTCTCAGGACAGAATATTTTCTTTTGTTGAGCAATTCAAATTGAGCAATATGTTCAGTTCAGATGGATCAATATTTATTTAAATTTATTTGCTGGTGAACCTAAACTTTGTGGGTCAGAACAACGAAGCAGAACAAACATAACAAAACCAAACAAAAAAAAACTAATAACTGTGTAACAATTTATCATTTCCTCCGTATAATTTCCACTGTGACGTATGACTGCAGTCTCATACTTATCTCATCTGGGGTACGCAGCTTTGTCATACCTCAAGTTCCTGTTAAGCATAGTGATGGTGAGCTGTCCCTTTTTTGTAGTGTTGAACTTGCTCTACTTGCTTGTGTAACACTTACATTTTCCGTATAAATAATGAAAATTTGAAAATTGAATTCAATTGTCTTTTTTTTTTACTTTCCTATTATGCAATGTTGGATAGAAAAGTGGAAAATTGAAAAATAGATTGATAGATAGAATTTATTTTCATTTGTGTGTTTGGGGTGTCTGAGAGGGCGGGTCTAAACACTGGACTCAATTTATGTCTGACTGGCTGGTGTGGCTGCTTGTCTCGCCTATAGTCCGGCCGCATTCAAGGTGTTACAGGTGAAATGCACATCTGGCATCTGTGTTTATATAAATACACAGCATATAACTTCAGAGCCATGAATGGAGAAAAACAGGCTAAATACGCTAGCCAAATGGAAATAAATACGTACAAATTTTCTCTTTTGCATTTGTCTATCCAATTTCACACAAACAGAAAATTTGAAAAAAGACCCCAAAATCTTGATTATACATTGATCTAACAAAAGAAAAATTGAATTTTAGAAAAAGTAATATTTTTTATATGGCAAATGTAACTGCTAAATGTTACACAGACCACTTTCTACCACACACGGATCAAAGATGTTGTCTGCCTCGAGTCTGGAAAAGTCCACGCTTTCACCACTCACTCACTGTGACCTGAACAAGCTGCAGGAAGACTCTTGCTCTCTCTCCGTCGCTTTATATTCTAAGTCAGTGGTTGCCAACCTTTTTTCTTAAGGGACCCCTGTCCTACCACTGAGTAAACTGATAACCCCTGACTAATTTTGAGCAGATTATTTCTTGTTTAGGGAACTCTTATCTTTTATTATGTATTTCATTTTTAACAATCATACAGACTTAATAGGTTTTTTT